ATCTCAGGGTTAGTAACACTTCCATACAAACAAACCAAATACTCATTAGGCGAGGAATTTTTCAAGGAGACTCCCTGAGTCCTCTCTGATTCTGCCTAGCCTTGAACCCATTATTTTAAATGTTAAACAACACACAATATGGCTACAATATCAGACATGAAAAGACAACACAGTTTACGCTGTCCCATCTCATGTACGTACATGGACGACATAAAACTTTACACATCCACACAGAAATGTGTGTGGATGTGTGATCCACATGAATGTGTGATTTGTACGAGTTGATACTCGTACAAATCACACATTCATACACCAAGGACATACATATGGAGTTTGGCTTAGACAAATGCAAAACACTTCACACAGACAAAGAAATCCTGAAGAAAGAAGATTTTGCACTTGGAAATGGAAACGTTATTGAATCCATGGAAGAGGGCGAGTTCTACAAATACATTTCACAGACAGTATTGAAAAATGACAAGCACAAAATGTACTACGACAGAGCCATAATCACAGATAAAACAATTTACCACAAAAGACCAGACATCACACTCATTGACAAACACAATAAAATCACATACATTATAGACATAGCCATTCCAAACACACAATGTACTGTACAAAACACTGTACAAATATTTAGGATTCCAACAGGCCAAACTAACAGAACATACACAAATAAAGCAAAGATTAATTAATTAAAGAATACCAAAGTAAGTTAAATGCCATTCTCAAAACACAGCTAAATGCAAAACACACAGTTAAAGCAATAAACACTTATGTCATCCCAGTACTCACATACTCTTTTGGAGTTATACATTGGACTCACACAGATCTTGAGCAACTCCAAAGGAAAACAAGAACAGCACTTACTAAGCATAAACATCATCATCATAAATCCACTATAGAAAGATTAACCCTACCACGTAAAGATAGCGGATGGGGCATGATTGACATAGTGAACCTTCACTATAAACAAATACAGTCACTGCGACAGTTTTTCTACAAAAAACAAGAAACATCACAGTTACATAAAGCAGTAACTCTAGCAGACTCAAATAACACACCATTAAACTTACACTTACATCATACAGACATGACACAACATATAAAAAGCATAGACACCATCAAGCGATCGTGGGCTCAAAAGGCACTCCATGGCAGGCATCCTTA